GGATTCAATTATAGGTAAACGGATTAGTTGCCTTTTTTATGAGGTTTTAATTGTTCTTTACCACCGAAAGTGCGGTATTCTAACGTTAGTTTAAGGAGGGCTGGTCGGCCTAATGATAATTTGTGAATTTAATTTACTTTTAAATATTTGCTTTGGTAGAGCACATCACACAAACACAAAAGACTGTATAATATTGATTATTGATGGGTGATGTTGAATATGTATAACTAATGTAACAAGAAATTTGGTTATTATTATTATTTTTTTAATTATAATTAAAGACTTCTCCTTGATTATGTTTAAAACTATTTCCAATACATACACTATATAAAGAGTAACAGCCTAACTTTACTTTTAAAATGTTATTGTCAAAATATTAAATTCATTTGTGTGTGTTTATGTTAGTTTTGTAATATGATTGCTCATATAAGGATGTCATATTATATCATCATGCCCTTATATGGGCAACAAATTATTAATGCAATTATTATTTCTAGATTGATTTGTGTTAATTAATATATATATTAAATATAAGTTAATTTTATATCAAATTATATTTTTAAATGATTTTATACATCTATTCTGTCTTCTATTTTAATTTGTTTAAGGATACAGACACCTTTAAGGTTTGCGCACAAAGAAGTTTATTCAAAATTGACTGGTTTAATTATTATTATTATGTTAAATCAAAGTTATAATTTAAAAATCATTTTATAATTTTTCAATTAATTAGAAATACTGAATTAACCTATGTGTGTGTGCCCTATTTACAAATATATATTTTATGCAAATAGAAATTTATTTTGATTAATTTAAAATATAATTTTGTAATTTTATTAAAGTTATCATTCTATTAAATTAATTGTATCTAAAGGGTTAATATTTGAAATATTTATGTTCTGTAATCTTTTTAAAGTTATTCTTAATATTATCTAAATTGCTACACAACACATTGTGATTAACGTTTGTTTACAGTTAATTTTAAAACATTTTGCTAAAAACCCTAAGTGCATCTAATAATTTTTGAATAATATTATCATTATTTTTTATTATATTCCAAAGCCCATTATTAGATAAATATATATTAATAATAAATTATTTATATATCTTAAGTTAAATTTATTTCAAGTTATAGTTTTTTAATGATTTTATACTTTTATTAAGTAATTTAAAATTGTACCTAAAAGGTTGATATTTGAAATATTTTTACATTTCAATATCTAAAATTATGTGGTATTTATGTTCTATAATCTTTTTAAAGTTATTCTTAATATTATCTCTAATGCTACACAATACATAGTGATTAACGTTTGTTTAAAGTTAATTTTAAAACATTACTAGATAAATATATATTAATAATATATTATTTATATATCTTAAGTTAAATTTATTTCAAGTTTTTTAATGATTTTATACTTTTATTAAGTAATTAAAAATTAGATAAATATATATTAATAATATATCATTTATATATCTTAAGTTAAATTTATTTCAAGTTAGAGTTTTTTAATGATTTTATACTTTTATTAAGTAATTAAAAATTGTATCTAAAGGGTTGATATTTGAAATATTTTTACATTTCAATATATAAAATTATGTAGTATTTATGTTCTGTAATCTTTTTAAAGTTGTTCTTAATATTATCTCTAATGCTACACAATACATAGTGATTAACGTTTGTTTAAAGTTAATTTTAAAACATTTTGCTAAAAACCCTAAGTGCGTCTAATAATTTTTGAATAATATTATCATTATTTTTATTATTATCCAAAGCCCATGACTAGATAAATATTTATTAATAATAAATTATTTCTATATTTTAAGTTATATTTTTTTAATGATTTTATGCTTTTATTAAGTTAAATTAAAGTTAAAATTTTAAAAGTTATTTTATGATTTTCAATCAATCCAAAATACTATATTTAACAATGTGTGTGTTCTGTTTAATTTAGATATATTTTAATATGCAAATATAAATTTAATTTTACTTGATTAATCTAATATATAACTTTGTAATTATCTTTGATTATTATCATTATTATTATATTCCAAGGCATATTACTAGATAAATGTTTGTTAATAATACATTTATTCTTTCTGTTAAATTAACAGTATTATGTTCTAAAACTTTTAATAGTTTGAAACAAAAAAAATTAAAAAAATTGATACAGATTTAATATTCATTGCATATTTTAATTTGTGAACAACTTTAATTTTTTTATTAGGTGACACATTAGGTGATGAAATGTTTATGAGAGTTGTATTTATTGCAGCAAGTCAATATGTAATTCAGTATTGAACAATTATTAAGATAAATATATATTAATAATAAATTATTTATATATCTTAAGTTAAATTTATTTCAAGTTATAGTTTTTTAATGATTTTATATTTTATTAAGTAATTTAAAATTGTATCTAAAGGGTTGATATTTGAAATATTTTTACATTTCAATATCTAAAATTATGTAGTATTTATGTTCTATAATCTTTTTAAAGTTATTCTTAATATTATCTCTAATGCTACACAATACATAGTGATTAACGTTTATTTAAAGGTAATTTTAAAACATTTTGCTAAAAACCCTAAGTGCGTCTAATAATTTGTGAATAATATTATCATTATTTTTATTATTATTCCAAAGCCCATTACTAGATAAATATATATTAATAATAAATTAATTATTTATATATCTTAAGTTAAATTTATTTCAAGTTATAGTTTTTTTTTTATTGATTTTATACTTTTATTAGGTTAAAATAAAGTTAAAATGTTTAAAGATATTTTACGCTTTTCAATTAATCCAAAATACTGTATTTAACAATGTGTGTTTTCTGTTTAATTTAAATATCTTTTAATATGCAAATACAAATTTAATTTTAATCAATTAATCTAATATATAATTTTGTAATTATCATTATCATTATTAATATTTATTATATTATAAAAAATTTGTTAATAATATATTATTACTATGTTCTATCCTCTCTGTGATATATGTATTAACATATCAATAATTTATTCTTTCTATTAAATTAACATTATTATGTTCTAAAAGTTTTAATAATTTGAAACAAAAAACAACTATTTAAAACAATTGATACAATTTTAATATTCATTGCATATTGTAATTTGTAAACAATTTAAATTTTTTGATTAGGTGACACATTAGGTAATGGAACTGTTTA